GCAGGTGGAATGGGAGAATGCCCCAGGTGATCACCGACCTCCCCCATGTCCCAGGTGACTGCTTTGTAACAGGTTTAGGCAGCAAATGACCTAACACACTTCCAGGGGGTGGCGATTTCCATGTTCTGTAGCAAAGACCAGCAACACCAACTCCTGTGGTCGGACACAGTGGGGTTTATTGACTTGCTGCAGCGCAGAGGCCCACACACACTGTTGGGAGCTATGGGGCATCTCAGTCAAAGGGCTTTGCTCTGGGTGAGGTGCCGTCGGGAAGTCGGGGATCCTGTGACTGGGTCTCGCACACCTGAGCCCGTGGCAGGAGGACTGATGTGATGACGGGTAAATCAGCAGCGGTCTCCTTCGCCAGGACGGGAGCTGTCTGGTCACTTCTGCCGTGTGGACGATGTACTTTTGCCTGAGTCCTGACGTGTTTGCAGCGGTCATGTTCATCTTGATCTCAGCGCGGCCTGTGTGTTACATGGTCTCTGGAGCCGCCTCCCTTCTGTGGACACTGGGGCCAGGGGCTCCTCAGTGGGGCTGAGCGAGAGCAGCATTTTCACCAACTTCTATAGAAGCCTTGTTTATCACCAGCTGAGAACCACTGGAATAAACAATCCCTTCTAACACTGATTCTATTTTTATTATATCTTTGGGGCAAGTTTAGGATTTATTTTTGATTGTATCTTTTCAAAATAGCAAATGTTTTACCAGCACATATTTGAATCTTTAACAGAACAGAGCTTTCTGAGTCCCGGAAAATGGCCCAGAATATTTTTCTAGTTTTCCTTATCTTAGCCACTGTAGTCAATAAAGCTGTGATCCCTTACAGGGAAGAGGGCCCTTAGGCTAGTCTGCTTGGAGTGGCTGCCTTTTCACTAAGTTAAATTCAATTTGAAAATTATTTTTGTCCCTGTGAACGTTACCAGGTGGCTTCTACATGACACCATGCTTGATCTACACAGACTATTTGCCACAGTCACGTAACTAGTAATTGATGGGGTGGTGCAGTCTGAACGCAGGTGCTCCTTCTGGCGTCCACATGTAGAATAAGCAGCAAAAGAGGATAAACTGGAGGCGGAGTGCTCTGAGCGGAAGGGCAGGGCCCGTCTCCGCTGTTTATGTCTATTTAATGTACTTATCGGCTCATCTTGTGTCTGTCCTCACTGTGAGAATGGGCTCCATGAGGATGTAAACTATATCATCACTATAGATGTCAGGGTCAGTAAGTAAATACCCTGGTTGGACTCACTGCATTGTCAGTCAATGTGTTCCTTCAACAGTTGCACCTGCAGACTAGTTGGATCCTGCTGGGTCCCACTTTTGAAAACTGCTTTTGTCTGGATTCTCTAGGTGGACAGTTGCCAAGGTTGGACAGCATGGTGAGGCTGCGCTATAAAGACCACATCGTCCTCACGGTGATGCCGGATCAGGGTGGCTCTGTGAGTATCCCGAGGGGAGAGGTTCTCGTCCTCGGGGCATCTCCCTCAGACTGACAGGTGGCCACGCCCCCCTCTGGCAGTCCCTCTGCTCTCCCAGCTCAGCGCCTGCCATTGCTTTGGGGCGGATACTGCCCCAACCTCACTTTCCACATTTCCCTTCCTGGTGGGCATTTGAGGGCTTGCTTGCCCTCATCTCCCACAGAATCCGTTTAAAAACACTGATTTCAGAGAGAGGGAGAGCGAAAGATAGAAATATCAATGAGAGCGAATCATCACTGGGCTGCCTCCTGCACGCAAGCCCCGACTGGGGAATCGAGCTCGAAATCTGGGCCTGGGCCCTGACTGGGAATTGAACCATGACCTCCTGGTTCATGGGTTGATGCTCAACCACTGAGCTACACGGAGGCCCGCAGAACCCTTTTAATTCTCCTCACATAGTGATTGTCTGGTCTCTGCCCCCAGTTGGGTTTCAGGCCATGTTGCTCAGACGACTTTGGACCCTGTCCATGCGTCTCCCTACCTCAGTCCCTCTTCCATCCTGTAAACTGTGCAGGTCTGTCTTTACATACAGTTTTGTTGATGTTTCTTCTTAAAAAAATCTCTATCCTGTGGGAAGATATTCTACTTTCCATACGTGACCCAGTAGTTCCCCAAACTGGCTGATCGTAGAATCAGCTGGAAGAGTTTGAGATAATGAATTCCTGGGCTCCATCTGGTCTGGGTTGGACCCTCTGCACTTGTTACAGCTCCCCCTACAGCCCAGAGACCTTTGGAACTGTCCCAGGCCCTAAGGCTCCTCCTAGTCAGCTTTCTCCAGAGGCACCTCAGGGATGATTGGAGGGATGGGGGCACCTAGATGTCTCCATGAACAGACTGCTCCAGCTGTCAGGGCCAGACCTGGGGAGGCTGGTTTCTAATAGACACAACACCTCAAAAGTACACATCTTCATTGAAAAACGCAGTCACTCTGCTAATGCATCAGTTTGGGGCCATCCTCTCCCGGGCCAAGGTGTTGGAGCTTTACCTAAGGCGACAGGGAATGGCAGGCTCTGGCAGAGTCTGAGCTGCACTGTGTGGGAGGGAGCGGGAGGGACGTAGAGGCCGTTGGAGAGGCCACTGTAATTGGAATGAAAGTTTTATAGATCACACAGCTGGTATTTCTCTAGAGGTAATGTTCACTCCATCATTTTCATGTCAAATTTTGACGCAAAAAAGTGCAGGTGTGATTAAGTGAAGAAACTTGAGTATTTCATTAGGTTGCTCTGTAAATGGTTGCTTTTTCATGAAATCAGGTTTCTGAAGATGCGCTGGCAGGTGTACTGTTTCATCTGTTATTTGCTACAAACAAATCGTAATCTGCGAGGACGGTAATGAAGTGATAGGCGCACACACAACATATCACAACATTTTGCCCAAAGGATTCTTTACAGTAGTCAGTAAATTTCACTAAAGCACCGAGGTTTTAAGATTTTTCTTGGTTGTTGACCCATGTTATTGGAAAAAGCTCCTCGTAACGAAACCCTCTAAATTCTGTTGATGACTTAATGCTTTTTCTTTTTAAAGGATGAAACTCAAGAAAAGATGGTTTACATCTACCACTCCTTACAGAACAGGAGAGAGACACACATGATGGGGAGCGAGGAAACGGAGGTTCGTTCCAGCCTGAAGTGGATGCTTTTCCTGCGGTCGGTGGTGGCTGGGAGAGACAGTCTGTTCCCTCTGGTTTATGGGAAATGTGCTTTGTTATGACTGCAGTGCGGGCTTAACGTTCCATAAACCTGACAGCCCTTGCGAGTCACATGGTTCTGTGACGTGCAGACACTAGCTGGATGTGCAGGAAAGGTGTAATGTCATGCTAAGCATTTATGTTAGGATGTCTTTCCTGAAGTCTGAGTTTTCATACGGGAATTGGCAAATTCTATAAGTTATCTGATTATAGTCTATGTGCATAGCCTAGCCCAGTGGTGAGCAAACCGCGGCTCGTGTGCCATTCGCGGCTCTTTGGCCCCTTGAGTGTGGCTCTTCCACAAAATACCACGTGCGGGCGCGCACGTACAGTGTGATTGAAACTTTGTGGCCCATGCACAGAAGTCGGTTTTCGGCCTGGGCGAGTCTATTTTGAAGAAGTGGCATTAGAAGAAGTGGGGGTATGTTCGCTGAGGTCAACCCCTCAGATTGAGGACGTTTTTGCAAAGGCCAGCTTAGGAGTGCCCTAATTAAGTTAATAACAATGTACCTACCTATATAGTTTAAGTTTAAAAAATTTGGCTCTCAAAAGAAATTTCAGTCGTTGTACTGTTGATATTTGGCTCTGTTGACTAATGAGTTTGCCGACCACTGGCCTAGCCCATCTGAAACAAGTTTCATACTTTGAAAGGCGTCAAAAATAACAGCGTACGAAGAGTTTTGGGAGTTTATATGAGAGTGCCCCAGGAGAGACATAAGTGGAGTATGATCTGACCGGTTTATCCTTTTTCAGGCTCATGGGCTTCGTTTTCCTCTATCTCATGTGGATGCACTGAAGCAAATTTGGAGCAGCCCAGCGATTTCTGTCAAGGACCTGAAACTCGCTACAGATGCGGAAAAGGAGAGCCTGGCCTTGTCTCTCTGGACAGAATGTTTACTCCAGGTAGTCTAGCGCCTCTACGCACCGTGTCTAGGATTTTGCATACACAGGAAAAGGAAACATATGTTGGGGGCCCCTGCTGCTCTGAGTAGCAGACAGGGATGGAGGGATGGTGACATACAACTTGACTGCATGTGTTCTGGTAGCAGGAGACCCACTGGTTACACGAGGTCGTATGCATTAACGAAAGGATGGCACATTACTCTGTGTCCTAGAAAGTGGCAAAACCAAACTTGTGACAGGTTTATTTATCCAGTGTGGTAGAAAAGGCACAACGACAATAAAGGTATCATTTAAATTTAGAAGTTGTTACCTGGCTTTGTCTCTGTTCTTTGGAAGAAACTTCTTTAAAGAGCCTCATTGGCTCTGAAACATTTTTAAGCAATTAACATGAAGAAAAAATTTCAACTTTTTTTTTTTACAATGACAATATACATACCTTTTGTATACACAAGCCCCCATTTAAAATAAAGTTACCCCTATAAGTTTCATTAAATAATGCTGCCACATTAATGAGAGGCACTCATGTCTATGGGTGTGAGGGAGTTTTACAGCTGCTGCTTGAAAGATGACAGAAAAGCCTGAGATTAAAGGAAAAACCCCAGTGATATCTACATGGAAAGACCAAGTCTCTATAAAAAGTTCTCAAAATAGTGGGTCTTTGAGTTTAAACAATTCACTGTTATTTTATATTCTAAAGTGCATATAGGTTGATATTTTAAAAAATACCACATAGAACTTGTTCTATGTAAAAAATAGGACATTTTTCTGTTTTCTGGCAAAAGTTGGGGATAAAGGGAACAGTTATCTCCAACTCTCAGTTTAAAACCAGCTCAGGAAGGAAAAATGCTTGTGAATTGTATGGTTAAAGGTGGTAATGATTACTTTAAGCCCAAGGTGATATCCTATCTGATTTTGCTTAAATAAAAGCTATTTAAAATGGGAGTAGAACACTGAGTTTTCTATTTTGTAGAAAAATCAACTCCACTTTTACTTACAGTAAAATGGTATAGTCAAGTCTCAACTACTACTTGGTTTTAATTTGAACATGTGAAACTTCCCTTTATCAGGCAAATAAATACCTGACCATCTTCTATGGAGGTGAAACAGTTTTAATAAACCCTTCTTGAGGGCAGATCAGGCGAAACCGAGGGGGAGGTCTCACACCAGGACAGGTAACACTGAGTCCTGTGGCCCACGGGGTGTCTTGCTAATACTTAGAGTGCAAGGATGGTCAGGTGATTTGTGCTTTTTAAGTCTGAAGGACTGAGCAAAGGATGGCCACAGACAATACTCCATATTTGAGCCCTTTTCCTGATAAAGTTCAGGTCCCTCCCTGGGGTCAGTTACAAGTATGAATACTTATGGTGCTTCAGTTATAAAAGCCTCAATAGAAAACCTTTAAGGTTTAGCTATTAATACAGCAGCTTAATAGGTTTATTAACTATTCTTCAAATATTGCTGAAAATTATTCACAACCTATAGGAATTTACTTCCCCGCACCTTGCACTCATCCACACATGTACTAGGATGTGAATACCTACAGGTCGGCAGCACATCCAGCGTCCTAAATGATGCTGTCAGGAACGGAACGTACTGGGTGGACGGAGCGAGAACACCGGCGTCGGTAGACTTGCTCACCCACGTTGGAGATGAAGCAGGAATAGAACCTTTAACCAGAAATCATGACCTGTTCCTCACAGGGGCACGGAGCAGCTGGCAAGAATATGCTGAGCTCCCGGTGGTGAGCACCGGTGGTGCTTCCTGTCTGGGAGGCACGGCGCTTCTCCCTTGGCTCTTTCTAGGGATGCTGCCGAGTCTCACAGGATCTCAATGTCCCACTTCTGCGTTTCTTTCCCCTCCAGGGGCTGGTTTACAATGACATGGGTCTTGTCATAATAATTTCCTCCTAGAATAGAAATTCCAAAAGAAAAGATTATGTCTTCACACAGGTGCGTAACTGTGTCCACCAGCTATTGTTCAGCCCGCGGTTTGGGTCGATTAGCACGTCATTACAAAGCGGGCTGAAATGGGAACCTGAGTTTACACCGGCTGAGCTATTCTTCACCTCATCATGAGAGCTGTAACAGGTGAGGCACCGGCGGCGTGCCCCGCCCCGCCCTGCTCGGAGCTCGAGACTCTGGCTGAGTGCCAGGCACTGTTCTGTTTCTACATCAACAGTGGCTACGACTAACCCAGCGCAGCGGCAGCCCTGACCGTGCTGGTCCTGACCTTGCTGGATGAAAAAACAAGGTTAAATACTTCCCATAGGTTTCAGCTGAGGGCTTTTAAGGATTAGAGCAGAGGTTCTCAAGCTTGGCTGCACATGAGAATCACCTGGGAATCTTTTTAAAAGCCAAGCTTGAGAACCACTAGACTAGAGCAATTTACAGCAAGAAGTTAGAGATGTTTATTTCTAAGAAACATTATATTTTATGGTTTGATATTCAAATGTAAAAATGTTCTAAAGATCCCCGCATGACAAGTGTAAGTTTTTCAGCTGCATCAATGAGCAGAGCCTCAGGTGGTGTCCTCAGGCTTCTCCTGCTTGCTCCACATGGCTAATGGTTTTGTTTGTTAAAACAGCAAATCTTAACTTTTTCCAAACATAATTTAAAATGACTTCATCTCTCTCTTATACATAGTGATTTTCGTTACCCAGGAGAGGGAAGAGGTTTAACTTAAAAAATGGAATCCAGAAACATGACTCACGGGGTTTCCCAGCGGGGCCTACCTTTCACATCGAGGACAAGCTGGTCGCTGAGATAGGAGCTGATGGTGCCGTTTCTGTTCAGCCTCCACTTCTGCCTCAGTTGCCCATGTTCCGCCCACAGGGCTACTCTAGCTCCCGGTGTGTCCCGGCCGCCAATCACATCCAGGCAGGTGTCGTTGGCCTACAGGGTTAAGAAATGCATGGGTAGCACTGTGTTTGCTAAAATACCTTGAATTGGGTCCCTTTTCTTTTCAAACTTTAAGAGAAAGTTTATTTAGCAAGTTACAGAGGTAGTGGAAGGGAGCCAGCCGGGCTGTTCAGGCTCAGGGAACAAGTTACAGAAGCAAAGAAGAGCCCTTGGGGCTTAGAAGAAGGAAAGGCCTGGGAGGGCAGCGTGCTCCCGAGAGGGCGAGCACCACATGGGCCCCTTCCTCCATGTGAACAAGTCACAGACAGTGAGCGACTATGTCCCCTCTGAAAAGAATACTGTACACACATAATTATCACTTCAGTAAGCTCCCAAAAAGCTTCGTTATCGCTGAGGGGAGGAAATGGTATAGAAATAAACCTGAAATGGAGGTACTTATTTCTAAAAAGATGCCTACATCTGACGACAGATGTTCAATAAATGTTTGTTGGACTGGAATTACATGTTAAGTCCCTGCTAGCTTACAAGTATTAGTGTGCTAGGGGCTGGGACTGGCAGAGAAGAATTACTAAGTGGGCTGAGGGGCAGGGACCATGGGAGAGAAAAATTGCTAATTATCCCGCTAGGAAAGCAATGTGTTATGATTAAACCCAGCCAGGTGTGACCCTGCTCGTAAATTTTATGTAAACTTTTTACCCTGCCAGTACCAGGAACGGCTAATGAACCGCTTTGCAGTTTGTTTTTTTGTTTTGAAATACTTTGAAGTCTTTGCAGATAAAAGGTCTTGCTGTACTCTCGGTCAGCACTGCAAGCTGTGATGCTCCTATGGGAGGGACGTGGCTGCAGTCAGCTGGCCAGCTTAATAAAGGCTCTTAAAATTTAAATTTTGAGTCGGTGGTCCAGCTTGCTGATTGAACCCGTAACATTAGCTCGAAGAACTTAGTTTTCTTAATGCTCTTCATTTTGGGTGAAGCATGAGATAAAAGTAGACAAGCCACCGGCGAGACAATACAGTACACTTGGAACATTTTAAAACTTTTATTCCCCACAGCATTAGACACGGAGGGGTCTCAGAGAAACAGAAACCCGGACTTTATTTCCTAGGCTTTCCCCAGTGACAGCTTCTCTCTTCTCTAGCTACTTCATTTTGAAAATGAGAAGGCACCACCAGGTTTGGAATCCCAAAGGCAGCCAGTTCCATCTGGGCTTTATTTGTTTTATTTTATTTTTTGAAATTAAATCTTTATTGTTCAGATTATTACAGTTGTTCCTCTTTTTTCCCCACATAACTCCCCTCCACCCAGTTCCCACCCCACCCTCTGCCCTTACCCCCCTCCCCTACTGTCCTCATACATAGGTGTACGATTTTTGTTCAGTCTCTTCCTCCACTCCCACACACCTTCCCCCTCCACCCCCCAAGAATAGTCAGTCCATTCCCTTTCTATGCCCCTGATTCTGTTATAATCACCAGTTCATTCTGTTCATCAGATTATGTATTCCCTTGATTTTTAGATTCACTTGTTGATAGATGTGTATTTGTTGTTCATAATTTGTATCTTTAGCCTTTTCTTCTTCTTCCTCTTCT